AGATTTAGATTGTTTCATTATCTCCTTGTTCAATATCAATACTACAGGTAGTGATGATATCTTACCTTAAGTCTCAGTTGATGTTATAGGATAACTATGGTACTTAGTCCATGTGGGCAATAATATGAAAATAAAGATCATTCATTCACGTGAAAAAATAGAGACGACAAACTGATCTCACGAGACAACTGATGAGAGTAGATGAACGTGGTGTGCGTGTGTGGAGGGCTTTTATATAATGTAATGTTGATATGGGCTAGCGATGGCCGCGTGCCTGTGAAGCTCGTGTGTTATGCCGAATTGGACATCCCGGCTAAACTAAGTAATCTCCAACCAGATCCCTTTCGGTGGCAAAAAGACAGTATCAAATTGGCCAGGCAGTATCCATTAGCCAGTGAAGGTTGCCGGTGGTGGGGGTACCGAAAAAAAAAACGGCCATATATAAAATTAACGATCATTCCCCCACAACCTCTGCTTGTGTGCTTGGAGAGTATAAACTAAGGTCAGCTTTTGAGAAATTGCCAAGTGAAATATATATACGGCCGCGTCAAGCAAAAACAAACAGGAAGAAAACAGGAATCACGCCGAATCACGAACAATTTTCCACGTTTGTTCAGAGTAGAAAAGGCTATGTTGGACGTGGAATACGTGACGATCAGAGCATAGCAAAGACGTAAATAGCGCTTAGCTATGGCAAATCACTGCTGCAGCAAACATACACGACGGTTATTTTAGTTCTCGACAAGTGGGTGGTTTGCCTGTCCTGAATAGAATGACGTAAGCGCGGGGATTTGCCGATGACCTGATCCGAATGTTTTCACTTTTACTTATTGTTCTCCCAGGGCCGTAACTCCACTCGAGGAGCGAAAACAACTCGTGTTTTCTCACACTGAGGCCGTCTTGTGGTTTGGGTACTTCACATAGAATATAAAAGTTTTTGGTTTGCATCCCTAGCAGAAGTTGATGTTGTGCCTCAGTCGACTCGCGTCACGAGCACTTCAAACTCGGATGCAAACGCACTAACGTTAGTACTTGTGGAACAACTAGGTGCGGGTGGATCAGACCTTAATACAGCCTGGCCTTACACAGCTTGTACGTACAGTCTTACAGTCAAAGTCTACGCCTAAAGGCGATTTACCGGTTATGCTGAACGACCTACAGAACTTTGACCGACCATAGGAGTACACGAACATAAAGAATTAGTTTTTGGTAAATAATCTTAAAAACTAAACATTTTTTTTCACACGTGCCAGGAATCTAATTTCGAAATATACAGAAAGTCATGTAGGGAGAAGGCAATGACAGAACCTAATAACTTTCAACTTTGTGATTGTAGTATTTTGACATATGAATGTTTTGACATTGCTTTGATGGAACGGTTAGCCAGATCCTGGAACTTGGATTCTATGAGATATAAAACATCAGAATGTTTTCAGTTAAATCCACTGTACTCCACAATTACCATGACCGTAATTCCGTGTACTGTGCTACACGAAAACAAGCCACAGTTGACGTTCCCAGGCCGACCTTGAACAATTAAATCCCACGTACCCGTCCTGACGAACATGACATGACCCCAGGCGTGACGTCATCAGTCGTGACGTAGGCACCGTTACCCAGCACACACCGGAAGTAGCAGACGACACGACGCGCACGTTTCCGGTTGTTAGAAGGAGGGTTATGACTAGTGGGGTGGGGTATCATCACTAAGTGGGATGTCTAGACACAAGGAGTGGGGATGGTCCGTAGGATGAGAAGGAAGGCCAACGGATGCTATGACTTGCTGGGCTGAACACGCCCAAGATATCAACGGAACTTTCAGTCCCTTTCTTGCATGTAAAAAATACTACACTATAGATTCAGTGGTAACATAGCTTTATATGTTTACTAATATACTAGTAACTATTTTGTAAACATAAATTTGGTGATAACGTGTATACGATAGATTTGGTGGTAAAATAGTACTACATGTTTGACTGTTGTGTAAATGATAGAATATTGATAACATGTATACAACACAGTGATAGCACAGACCTTTAAATTGTTTTCTCTTCCCCGGCTTGTTCACAAGACTAACAACGCTACAGTTAATCATATTTTACCTTTTTGATGAAATAGTAGTAGTAATATACTAGTAGTGCATAACTGCACTCATACCATTTGAATTATGACTATCCGCGAAACCATCAGGACATATCAGTGATGAGTAATTTAAGCACATTAAAATCGCCATCAATATTATGAAGAAAGTTCACGTTCCTGATATTAAGACCTAAAATGCTGATCTAAAAGCAGATATAGTCGTGACGGTTTCTCTTGTGACCCAAGATATGATCGCGGAACCAGTCGGACCCTGAAGATTCAGTTCTTGAATATGATTAAATCATAGACAGATGAATGTTTGCGCTAGCGATTAACATGTTTTCACGGCAGTGACCTAGTGAATACACCGTACATTTCATATAACCAGCAAGTCTGACAATTCTAACGCAGCGAAAACTCAGGAAATGCATGACTTGCAACATTGCTTATGTCATACTTCCTATTATACATGTATTTTTTTTTAATTTTAATTCTGCTTCTGTATTTTCTGGTCACATGTTAATTTGGTTCCGTGTTTCAGCCAAAAGAATAATGCTGGACTCGTTATCTGTTTTACTAAGTATATAAAACCCACGTGAAGTCCACTCAGGGTCTCGTGAGTTTGACGTCACGAAAACTATAAGGGTTTATTATGTCATATCATGTTTTATATATATAAAAAAAATCATGACACTTTATGTGACTATTATATAGAATATATAATAACATCTATATTTAGAAAGCCATCGTTTGTTTCCTCAAGCTCAACACTGTGTAATAGTTCTTACTATTTTTCTATGTTAACATTCTTGTCAATGATTTATTTCAATTGCCAAATTTCCTGCCCCCAACCTGATCATTTAGAACTGTAAATCAAGTTCTTCCAAAGGCGTTATATATGAATGAAAGTTAACAACCTTACTCATGGTTTGAAGTCGTAAACGTGAACTACAAAGAACTACTTAGCTATGCCATTTTTATTCCTTGAAAAAAAAAAGAATGAATGAATACGTACACCAGGAATTCCACCTTATTTTTCTAGACGCTAAGCAAAGGTTTAGAGCACAGGTAGCGGATGTTCACCTGTGAGACAATACAAAGGAAATATCTGTCTAGGGGCCAGGAATCTCAGGACAAAACGCAAAGTATTCTCGGTAAAGCGGTATTTCGTCTTACGAATACTGAGAAGTTACCTTCGACTCGAAACTATCAATTATGAACCGTGCGTCATTCGTCAGATCCAATGTAGGGACTTTTGCAAGCACGCCCTGATACTCTACATATATAGATGTACATTAAAAAACGCGCGTGTAATAACGAATAAAACCTCAGTAGTTCTAGTAATAGTTTATAATATGTTGACGAACAGTCTGTTTTCGTTCGTTTGTTGCTAGCATGCTTGGTGAATTGCAAGGACATAACATAGCTTAACACTGAAAATTCCCATGCACGTAAGTGGGTGGGTGTCTAACCTGAATTACGTGTTCGGTAAACCGTTCTGCGGGTGATCGCGATAAAAATAGCTTTGAGTTGGTGTTTGAAGAGTCCCTAGGATTTGCGGACGTGCGTTCTACTGCATGAATCAAACAGTCTCCACCAGACCAGACCAAGGACGTTATATCTTGTTGAAGCTTGACCAGACGTTACAAGTATGTCTTGTTGAACCTTGACCAGGCTATCAACGCCCTATAAATACAATAACTAAATATCCTATATAGAAATATCCAATATAAATTATAGTGTCATTGAGAATACTACAATTTAGCCAAATATGGACAACAATGAGTTTGGCCACCATTGGGTATCATTTCCCTGAGTATAGCACTAGGGGAAAATTTACGCTTTATACCGCCTCTCATTTGCATGACCCTACTAGGTGTATCTAAAACCCCTTTAATAGGGAGGCCTGGTGGAAGCTATGAATTAATAACCCGTGTCTACTTAGTGTATGCTTAAGACCACATTTTCCACAGATTGTTTTTCCAATGAGATAAACATTGTCTTTACCTGTGTTGTGTTTGCTAATTGCAAAAATATTGCTCGTTGTTACACATCTGAGATCATGATGATTGTTACACATGGGTATCTATTATTGTGAACATGCAGATGATGGAAAAATATGTTATGTTTTTTTATATAGTTAATATGTATCAGAATTCATTTCCAGGAGGCACTACCTGTCTTCCGTAGTGTTAACCCGAATTACGTGGCCGGCATTACGTTCCGGAGGTCATCTCTTGATAAAAATAGTTTGAGTTGTGTTTGAAGAGTTTGTGTAGTACGTGCTCGTGTACAGCGTGTTGCACATGAGTCATGGCGTACTGTGTTTCCACGTGAACATACACTCTTGCTGTTATAGTATGAATATTTAAAACTCTTACTTTTGTTATAATTGACAGTCCATACAAGACTTTCATGGGCCTGAAAAGTAGAAACTGACCAAATACGGTGAGTCAGCCGGCTAGAAGGCTACGCACCGTATTTGGTCACTAACTTTCTTTCATCACCTGTTGGGGCCTGCCCTTAACTTTATTGTTTCATACAGGACATTAATGCCCTTGGATTAACCCATCCGTGTTTTTACAGTCTTGGTATTCCCAAGGTGGATGAGATAAACCCAGAACAATAGCGACTCTGCAGCGCTCTAACCCGTCAGCTACAGTTGCAAATTTCAGCTACTTCAGCATCCTTTTGTTTCGTCTTTAAGCCTTTCTCTCAGCGCCGGTTTAGCGCTTTGATCATCGCCACGACCGAGAGGAATTCTGTGGACTAACACAACAGTGTTTAATAACCGCAGAATGGGGACATGATTAAAAGGTAGCCGGGCGATTTCGTCACAAACGCAAGATAAACACCTGAAGATTGGTCTGAAGCTCGCCGCCCGGGCAGGTAGGCGGTATGAGGAGGTGTCTAGAAGCTTGATTAGTCATTGTCGCCCCTTCACACGACTCAAAACACGACCGGACGACGGACAAAGGGCCGCATCGCCGAAACTCGACTTCCTACAAACAATTTCTGCATATTCATTGATGCCCTAATTAGGGCAAACGCTGGGGGACTGATCAGTATACATCCCTACGAGATCGCAAACCGCGGCACACAAGGACAGTAATCGATACAAAACTTACGTCGGTCACCGTACAACGCAAGGTATGTTGTAATGTATTCCATATTGTTACGTCAGTGTGCTTACAAATCATACGCAACCCTCCCCCGGGTATATACTGGGCGGTCCCGGGGTAGTCCCAGCCAAGTGGGTGCGCCCCCGTTTGGTGAATGTATTTTCCCGGCCCGTCCCGTCGGAGTGGCTGGCCTTTGATAGTAGGTTCATATACATAAAGATAATGATCGACTGTGCTTTAACAACAATCGCTCTCTGTTGTGTACAGGACTCGGTCTTACAGCTGCGCACGCTCCAGTCACGCTCAAGTCGTCCCAACACGTCCGCAGCGGCGGCCAAGAAAACTTGCCAGATTCCTTGAGACTTTTCGTAGCCAGGCGTGCCCGGATTGTCCAGTTGACGGCGGGACATCGCTACGAGCCCGACTGGGGAAGTTGTTGGCCATTTTGTAGTCGCTGTGCTCGGTGAAGCGGACTGGCCCGACCGGGATCGCGTTACAGTCGAGAAGAGGTTTTCACAAGTGTTACTGTGTGTTGTGGGAGAGGGCTGAGCCGCGGGACGGAGGTGAGGAAAACTCGTGGATTTTTGTGGAACTTGTGTTGAATATTTGTGTGCGGGACTACAATAGAGAGGAGTGCGCCAGGGAGTCCCAGTTCCTCAGTCGGACCAGCTGTGCTCTCGCTGACTGTGTCGCTCGTGCACTTTTGTGTGGGTGCAGCCTGCTTAGCCCTTTTTGTGTTGTGTACAGTGACTGTGTATAACGTGCGACGGCGGGGGCACCGGGAGTAAATATGGCCCAGCAGCAGCAGTTCGCGTACAATCCTGTGAGGCCAGGCGGGGGGAGAGTGGGCATGCAGCCGGGCGGGTACGTGCAGCACCCTGCCCGGGGACAGATGCACGCCATGCCGCCGGGACAGCAGCAGCAGCCCGGCCGACCCATGCAGGCCATGCAACGTCCCCCCAACCGACCCCTACAGCAGCAACAACAACGCCAGCAGCAACCCCCACGACAGGGAACGGTCATGCACTACGGTCAGGGGATGCAGCCCCACCCCACGGGCATGCAGCCCCACCCCACGGGTCGCCAGGGGATCCGGCCGAGCTACGTCCCCCAACAACAACCCATGCCCCAGCAGCAGGGACAGCACAGCATACAGATCCAGCGCGTGCCGAACACCCTGCACATGCAGCCCGGCCTGAGCATGGCTAACACCCGCAGGTTGTCTCACGACCCCGAGTCACCCACAACACGAGACATCCCCTCACCGCATCTCAGAGGAGGCTTCCCTCCGTCTTCCCCCTCCTTAGCCGACCTGGGGCACATAGACTTGAACAACAGACCGCCTCAAGTGCTAGGGGACCACAACATGCCTGTGTCAAGACCACAGATGATGCCTCACCAAGACATGCCCGTGAACCGTGGGAACATCATGAGGACAAATATGAATGATTTTCATAACATAAACCCAAAACTACAGCAGGACAACAACGGGATGTTACTCCGGGTGGACACCAACGGGCTCCACCGGGTCGCACCAGGCAACGGCTACGGGATGCACATGAACGGCGACCCGAGGAGCAAAGCACAAGTGCCCCCCTTCCTCCACGGGCTCTCGGACTTGGACATGATCGACGAGGACATCCTAGCCCGGTTGATTATAGAGTTGGGGTTGGACAGAATGCGGGAACTTCCCGAGCTTTGGTTGTCACACAACGAACTGGAGATGGACATCTGCAGACAGGTGCCTCCACAGAGAGCTGTCAGATGCTGACACCTTAGACTCTGGAAAATGGACAAAAATAAGATGTTTAAAGTTGTGGGGCAGCGGGTTAGAAACACGAACAGATCCTCCTGACCCGCCCCAGGCCAGGATTGTGTCTGAGGTATGTTGTATTAAGACTGGTGACAGAGTCAGCTTTTGTTCCTTAAAATATTTCTCTTTGTGGGGAAACCTTTTCTGTCCAGTGGTCGCCCTGTGTCAGCTGTTCGCTATTGTTCAAGTGAAACGGATGGTAGGGGTCGGCCTAGATTTCAAGAGTAAGACTCGCACGATTTAGTAAGTTTCTAAAGGAACTCCTTGTTTCTTAATTCCCACAAACAAAAGACTCAAGATGCCGGGTATGTATGAAAGGAAGTCATTGCTGCTACAGTCTCAGTTTCAGTGCCACCAGGGTTTGTTTACGTCTAGTTGCATGTGGATATGACCTCATGATCGGTGGCACTTCGCCAAAATTGAAACCACAGCCAGAATTGACCCTGAGCTACCAAGACAAGACCTGCTAATGTGTTACCTAGTTAGAGAGAGTCCGCTAGTTTATATTCGTGAGGAGTGTAGCTAGGTTTAGGTATGATTTTCGTGTGCTGTAGTTTAAAGAAGTGGAACAAAAGATCAGGTCAGGTGGTGTAGGGGTCAGAGCAGACAATAGAGGCATTGTTCTCCAATAGACCCTTTCAATGTCGTCCTTTTGGGACAGATGGGGGAAGGTCACGTGTCGCCAAGGAACAAAAGGCTCCGTGGAACAAACGGCCACTTTGTAAAGATTTTTCTGCCATAATTTAATTGTTTGTATGGAAGTTTTCTTTAGTAATGTGAATATAAACATTGTATTCTTTAGTTTCTTTACTTTTTCTGCAGTGACGCAAAGCTGCGCCCTTGAACAATTCCATTTAGATAAGAATAATAATATAAATTTGTGGTATGTAATTGTAAAAAGCCTTCCATGGTGAACAGAAACGTGAATACAAACACAATATTTATTCTTCCACATCCTCATAAGCTGTGAAAAAAATTGAGAAAGCCATGCATTACATGTATTTTCGAAAAATTCCTTCCTCGGATAAGAATAATAAATGTTAGAATTTGTGGTATGTAAAAACACTGGTTTGCTACAAACAGAGTACAGATATCCCTTTCATATCCTGTTAGCAAATATGGCTTAATGTTATTGAATTATTGAAGCACAAATGACTGTATGTCCTTACAACAAATAATGCCCTCGCAGGAATTGGTTATGGTGTTGTTTCACAGTGTAAGTTATTCAGGTTGCACTTTGGGGAGATGACTTAATATGTAACTCCCACATGCTGTTCTTTGTCAACAGAAATTGGTTATGTTGATGGAACAGAATTGTACAGTTCATGTGCCGTAATGACATCATTACGCCCCCACCCACCCACCAAACCTGCTATATTTTTACTCCCTATTTAATGTGTCTAAATTATTGGAGAAGGCAGCTAGTTTGGAGTGGGGGTAGTTTTGGGGGAATCTGTGTGTACAGTTCTAAGAGTTGTTATTCTGTGTAAATCCCCCCTTGGAACAGGATGCACATGTTTGAATAAGGGGATTATTCGCCCAGCATTGTTACGAGTGATGATCGTTTTTCGCACAAACACGGAACGTGAGAATCGTCGCACAACAAGCGACGCTACTGGAAGCCACTCGATAATTTATTGGCAGGCAGATTCTCCTCCTATCTGTGCCTTGTGTAATATTCATAGTCCTGGACTTGTACATGTGATCATGTATGAATAAATCATCCACTCCAAACAAGGGTTAAAATTGTGGATTAGGTAGAGGAAAATGCCTACAACTCTCCTGGTATGATCCACTGTGTAGAGACAAATCTTATAACAACTCTATGAAGGAGACTGCCTTATCCAGGTTTAACACTACCTAAAGACGCCATCTGGACTACAGTCCTGGATGGAAGCACACTGCATAGCATTCCTAAAATAACACGGACGCGATTTTAAGTAGACATTTTGTGTGTTTTAGAACATCCTTTCTCTGATGGAACAGTTAAATGGGTGCCATGGGCCTGTAGTGGGTCATGCATAATGCATCGCCAAGAAAACCAGTGTAAAAATGTGTGAATTTTTCATTGTCAGATCTTGTTTTCCCAGCTGTGCTCATGTTATATTTTGGCAGGTCGCCAACGCAAGGCGACAAAAGTCACATGTGATCGAGACTTGTGAGAGATTTTTGAGGAATGGAAACAGTTTTTTATACAGTTGAATATTATTATTGATATCATGGGAAGGAGAAGCAGATCTTGCGATTTTGAAAATGATGACAGAGAATTCATTTTGTACAATAAAGCAGTACAATCAGTGAATTTCAATTCCTTCTGTGTGGTGTCATCTTTTGTAAGTGGCTGGTTGTGTATTGAAAGTTTTTCACATGTTCTTAACTGAAGAGTGTTTATGGATAATGAGGTAATAGTGAGAGAATGAGGACAGTTTATACAGTATTGTGAAAAACAATAAGGTACTTTATAATTAGGTGTAAGTTTCAAAATCTGTTTTTCTCGGATAATTGTTAGATTTGCCTTCCTTTGTTGGAAATGGCAATGAAAGACAAAATGCAATCTTTGGAAATTCCACATAATGCACTGAAAATCAGGATACTGTATTTTGGGGATTTTTTAAATGACATTTAAATACAATTCTCCAAGCAGATGTTGGGATGGAACATATGATGTTTTCTGACTGGCAGACTTCTCTGACAGCCTTTTAACTCAACATTGAGAAGCTGTCAGTAAGAAATTACAACCTTCCACCCAACATCCACTTGGACATAAACATGCAGTCAACATTTATAGCCTGGATGCCAGACATCCTCAGCCCCAGGGCCAAGGAAATATGCAACAACCCCCTAGTCGGATACCTAAACCCCTAGTATACTGGCAAACTTGGGGTTGGGACCCATGTTTCTTCCCCCAAAGGGATTGTTATCGCCTTGCGTGCTGTGGGTGTCGCATTCAGGCTAACAACATTATTGGTTGTCTTTTTTTTTATCACTTTGTCCTGTGGTTCACCTCTCAGCCTGACACAAAATTTACATGGCAAGAATTCCTGTTCTGTAACTTCCCCTCTTCTGTTGCCTGCAATCAAATAACATCAGAGAAGTTCATCTTAAATTGCAACTAAGAGTAAATATTTCAACCCACAAATGAAGTGAAAGCAAGGAGGTTTAAAATCAAATCTTGACTTAAAACCTCCTTGGTGAAAGTAAAGATATTTCCGTTAACTCCAAATTCCCAGAATTTGTCAACATGTGAAGTAAGCCTAACTAGAAGGCTCAACAACTGGGGCTTTTTTTTCTCTTTCATAATGTGTTTTGTTTGTTAATATGGCATTTGTCTCAGCCAGCCCAGTTTATATTGGCCATTATACTCTCCAAGCAGAGGTTTGGAGTTTGGCATGTTTTTAGGCTTTTTTATCTGGCCTTCTTTGTTGCACTGGTATCTTTTTTTAGGTTGGCATAAAGAATTAAAGATACCAGTGCAAAAAAGCCTGATAAAAAAGCATAAAAAGGTAAAAATGCCAAAAATAAGCCAAAACCCAAACCACTTATTGGAGAGTAGCCATTATACATGTATCATAAAGTCCCAAACAAAAGCCCTAGTGGCTAATGTGAAGTGCCCTGTGTAAAACAACAGTGCCTGTATGTTGCAGACTGATGATTAGGGGTTATGCATGTTTCAAATCCTGTCAGTGATCAGAAACATTCAGAGCATTTCACCGCCAACAGTCTGCGGTGGGTGTTTGGACTGAGGAAGCTCTTGTTCTGAAGTGGTGCTCAGAATGTTGAAATATTTGTTCAATGTCTGACCAGTGCAACACTTAGTGGAAAATGGAGGGGAAAGTTCAAAACTATACCAGTACATGGTATATCTTGCTTTAAACAGATAGCTGCTTCTTATACTGGTTTTAAACCTTATGAAGACAATATATACCAATGATATATACAAGGATGCTCTTTCAGACAGCATGTAATATTAAACCGAATATTGGTTCTTACAAAGCAACCTCGATAAAATTAATCTGGCTGATGAGTGATGTATTAAGCTCATCCTGAATGAACTCTTGGAAGGAACTGACTGGAGGTTATGTTGTGAGAACCCAATATTCCTATGATTCACCACCCTGATTTACAGAAAATGTGTATGGGTAACTATGGTAGGTTATGTACAGTACATTTTACATCTTCACATGGCGGTTTTACTTTTGCTCTCTCCACTGCACATAGACATTTCTATTAATACATTAGAACTGTACTATACAAAATCACCTCAGCAATACACTCCTTTTCCCTCTTACTTTGAAAAAACATGAGTTTACAGCATGACCTGTACATGACTATCCATGTCCTGCCGTGCAGAATAGCTAACACTCTAGCTGAGGGCAAAGTAGGCCCTACTACACAATTTACTGACTTCTCCGAACAGGTAGTACCATACCTGGTGACAGGTTAGACAAATGGCCCACATACCAGGGCAGGCTGTGTGGATGTTTACATGACCTTATTCTTCACACCAGGCAATGTTCCACCTACTAGTAAAGGTTGGAGTGTTTGAATGCAAACAAATCCTGTTTCTAAAACCATTGCATGGCAGGTCTTAATTAGGCCACACCAATTTAATTTGTTGGTTCTCAGATTTTTTCAGAAAAAATATGAAGCGACAGGGCGAAAAAAAATAAAAATAAAAACAGGTCTAGGCATCCTATTATAGGCTTAAATGCTACAAAATGAGCCATGAAGTCAACACAAAAGGCTGGGTTAAAATTTAAACATTGAATTTTGAACTTTTAATCAAACCACTGCAATGATAGATGGGAAAACTGTAACAACTAGGAAGAAAAGGACTTTCCTCAACTGTTGGGGGCAAAACATGAGCATTTTTCAGTTGATTCAGGACCAGAATCAATTTTTTTTTTGTTGCAAATCAGAAAAAAAGGAAGAGGCGAATCCGAGAACCAACAAATTAAATTGGTGTGGCCTTATAGAGTTGTTATAAATTGATACACATTTCAGATTTTCAGGACATCATGTTTGATGCTCAACAGACTTATTATAAAATTTATGTACATGTATTAAACTTTTAATGTGACATTTAATGGGGTGTATTTTCCTCTGTAAATCTTTCATTTGTCAAAACTTTTAAATGTATAGAGATTGACAATTTCTAAAACAGGGTACTCCTGTAGTTTCATTTTTTAAGTAAAAATATGAATAGAATAATCATAACAATTTTGAATTATTTCAAAATAATCTGAAAGAATCACAAATATAATCTGTAAACCTTGCAGTGACTTTAGATAGACTTAGATTTTACAGATTTCATGTGTCTGTCCAGATCCTCAGTGTGTCTGTCAGCTGTTTTACAACAATGGGAAATGAGTTGTCTGCATCGCAGGGAAACCTGATTCTTGGTACTTAATTACAAGTCCTGTCCAACACAAACCAGAACAACTTTTATAATTTGTTAATAGCTGGTCCTACTTTTTTTCATGTCATTCCCCTCAATTTCGTCTCCTGCTGTTAGTAAAAAAAATCAACATTTTCAAAAGGCCTTTAAAAAATCTGCAGATTATACAAGCATGATCATAGCTCTAAAGAGAAAAGTATGCTGATCATCCAACTTTGTGATGCCACTCAACTCATGTTGAGGTCATCTTAGTCAAAAATATGATTTCAATGCTTTGAAAAAATTGTAAATTCCTATTGCAGATTATGCAAGCTGTACAGTTTAAGATCGAGAACTAGTCAACTATGCTGCCTCTGCAACAGAGGTTTGTTGTCCCTCCAAGTGGTGTGTAGTTTAGCGTGAAACAGGCTTGGCCGTCAATGATTGTTAAATGGTGGGTGAACTTTTCTCTATCGGTTTGTCACCACATATTTGTCCTGGTCGACACACATGCAGCCATAACAAGGCGTCGTTGGAATTTGACCAAGTTGGAGAGAAGAGTCATGTAAATACAAATGTAAAACAATCATATCTCTAGGTTATATCAGAAACACTTAGAACCTTAAATTACAATGACAGCTAAATTGATCATGCTGAAAGTAATTTCAACATTTAAGACTTGCCCTAATTGAACCTTTTGTTTCAGAAATGATTCAAATAGGCCAAGAATATTTTTGCTATGGGAAAAATTGTAATACATTGAGCTGAGAGGTGCCTAAAGTTGAGACTTTTTAAACTAAGTGATGTGATTTGTAAGACTTTCTGGCCAGGCAATTAACAGACTACAAGAATGTTGTGTCTAATGTAACAGTTGCAAAAACCCTTGGGCCAGCCTTTAGAATTTTGACCAATCTATCACAAATTCCTGAATTTTCAGTCTTTCAACAAAGTTGTTATATAAAAACTATATTTTCATTATACATGTGTACATGTATATTAATTCACCTCATCTAGCCCTTAAGGACACAAATACTTGGTTCTTAGACATTTAGAGAAAATTTAGCAAGAGGATATCATGAAAACTGAGGGAGAAAAACTTGAATCAGGCTGGGTTCACTTCTAAAACTGAAGAGTGCATCAAAGCATGATAAAGCTGGCCCTGAGGCCATTGTTTTTCCAGTAAAGCACATTTTCTCAAAATCAGAGAGGCAACAAATTGAATTAATGTGGCCTACTGAGTGTCAGCTGGTACAATTTCTGCACCTGTCCAGTCGAACAACTTGTTCCCGACCGCAGACAGTAACTTTTTGTGCAAGACAAACTAATTACTTACCACTGCCTGCAGGTAAGAAGAACATGTGTTCACTACAGAGGAGAGAAACTTGTTGCACAGCAGGTCCACACGACACGCACAGTCCCAACAAGTAATTTTCACTTCAACAGCCTGGGGTGCACTGACTTTTGGTCTCTACCAGACTCCAAATACCAGTAGACTGCTGGAAAATAGTAGATTTGTCCAAAAAGATTGACTAATTAGCCAGAGGGGTTAGCTGAATCTGTGGGATGGTTGCAAAGTGTACTCCTATGGCTGCCAATTCCTCCGGCAAATCATTTAGTCTAGATTCTGGTCAAATGTAATACTTTCCAAGAACCCATTGAAGTCTGTTGGAGAATAAGCCTGGGCTGTACTAAAAACTTGCATCATCATCCTTTTTCTCCAAAGCTTGTTCTGCAACAGATTGAATACAGTTTTGAGATTGCAAAAAAGAACATGAAGAACAACTTTATCAATTTTATCAGCTTAGACTAAAGAGATTCAAGCTCTGGGTATTGTATTCAATCTCAGATTGCAAGAAAAAAATAGATAATTCAACAAAGGCCACTGTATTTTCAACATAGATTGTTATTGTTAACAGGATTATCTA